GTTATTTATGATAATGATAGAAGCAAACATTTTTTTTTTAAATTTTTTCAAGCGTTCTCCTTTTCATGCAGACCACACTCCGGCTAATTTTCATATCTCTAGGAAACAGCAAAACGCCAGTAAAATGAGTTCAGTTATCTCCTGTTCCCTAAAATAGTCTACAATGTCAAATCATTGACAGTCTGAGCAATGAGCTGCACAAATTGCTGGTTTATATTTATAGCGCATTAAACATGCACATAGAGTGCAAACCCTTAGCAGGTAAGGAGAGGTCAGTTAAAGGTTGGTGTATGAATTAAGTATCAAAACTGATCTAGGGATTCGTAGCCTGGTCAAATCCCAATACTGACTTGCTAAAGAGATTTTATGTACTTTTCAAGGGAAAAGTACATAAAAAAAAAAAGATAAGTATATTTTATACTCAAAATATTGAGTATGAGTAGAGTGAATGAGTAGAGAGCTCTGAAATGTTGCTTCAGCCAACATTCCACAATTATTTCAAGGTTGGTGAAATCTACAAAATAAAAAAGCTATAAGCTAAGCTTATCATATATATAAAGAAAAATAATATATCTATTTGCTGTGAAAAGTACTCAGAAGGTTTAATGCGCATGAACATAGTGCACAAGCAATGTTTCATGCCCCAATTGCTCTTAAGTTATTGCTTATCCACCATGTCTACCAGCAATAAACCGTGAAAATATTTTTCTCAGCAGGTAAATGTCTATGAATTTTTGAAAGTGTAAAAAGCGAATATGTTTCAGACTCTTACTGTGGAAAAATATATTTTTCTGATTTGTTTGCATACTTTTGCTTGCATATGACACATTACTTAGTGTGAGAGCCTGTGTGACCTACATGGTCTACCGGTCAATGACAGCTGATTGATGTCCGTGAAAATAATAAAATAAGTGTTCCTATAGGGTTATAGCTGACCTGTTAAAGAGAAAGCTTTCACTTAGGGAGAGACACATATCAAAGCCAGCACTTTCTTCTTTTATAAATTATAGCTTGCAGATTCACATTCGATTGCTTTTTTTACGGCTAAAATGACTTTTTATTTATTTTTTAACTTTAAACATATATCCTCTGAATTTGGAGTTGGTTGGGCTTCAATTTGCATGATATGTAGTCTCGAGTTAATATAATACATAGAAGCTATTATCACTTAGACCAAAGTTCATATTTAAATTGCATATCTCCCAACATTTCAAACAGACAAAGAGACACAACGCTGCTCTGAGAAATTCCAGATGACTTACAGATAAAAATTTCTGCCACTAAAATATAATATAGAACAAGAACAATGTATCTTATTTACACAGACTGACTTCTAAATACATTTATTGCGGGTTATAGACACATTACTGTGATGATTATTGCTGTGGAGCTGTTTTACACTCAGACACACCAAAAAAATGGAGCTCTTAGAAAAGAAAGAAATTAGGAAAGAAAAGAGGGACAGAGGAATTTGGACCCAGAATAGAGACTGTCCTCCCTATATAGGGACACTTTGGAGGTATGAAAATGAATAGCCAAGTTTTCCTATCCTGATCTATACTACACTATGTTGGTATTGATTTCATTTTTTTCTAGATATATTTTTTGTGAACCCTAAGCTCAATATTTGAAGACCGCAGGGAATAGTTCCACCTAGCTAAAAGGATCTGCAAGCTGGAAATTTAAGTCAGTTCACATTGGCTCCGTAAACCTAACCTACCTGTATCTCACCCGTTATATGTAACCCAACATTTTCTTTATATTTATTGCTACACTGTAGTTTGCTTTTGTTTTACATGTATTGTTAATAAAAAAAAAGTACTGGGGGGCAGGGGCCACAACCTCATGGTTGCCAGAAGCCTCTCTTGCGAGCTCCGAGCCTAAGCTATTTATTCTTCCAAAATAATCAATAATCTGACGGCCTACAAGGCAAACTCTTTGACTTACCTGAGTCTGGAGCTGGTTTGAGTGCCTCCGATCAATCGTCTTGCTCGTATCTGGAATAGCTGACCCTTGTGTAAAAGCTACTTTTTTTAATAGCCATTTTAAGCTCTTTTGGGCTATGTTTCTTAACCCTCTGTTTTACGCTAGTTTTATAGTTCTACCATGCTAGGTTCAGCCCCATATTTTTGCTTTTTAATTGTGATTTTAACGTATATGTTTAATTCACTGAAGTGCAGCATCTTGATTTATGAAGCCTATAATAGTGCAGTAACACTAGCGTGCATCAGGAACCAGTGGTATCCATCTTATGTTAAACATGTCTTTATCTTTATCTTGAGTACTAATGTGCATCTCCAGGTCTTGCTTTACTGTTAAGTCCGTATGTTTTAACACACCTTTCTACAAGCACTGCTGTTCTCTAGTAAGAAATGTGGTGGACCTAACCTTAACATGTTAGTGCTACCACTTACACACATGACCAACTACTATCTAAGTCTCAGAGTACAGTTTAGTGTTCAGCATAGACATGTAAACCTGGCTTGTTTATTTTAAATTTTTTGTTTGTTTCACACAGGAGTTTTGGATAACGAATATATCATAACGAATGTCTCTTTAACATGTTTACACCAGTCATAATCCCGATTTGTTTAATCTATATCGCCAATCGTTTGCCTCAATAAAAGACTGATTAACAAAAAAAAGATACTGTGAGTAAATATTGAAGCACTTTGGAAAATGTATATTGCCTTTTTTAAATTCTGCTTGTTCAGATATGTGTGGAGACAATGTTTGAAATAAGCAGTGCACTTACTCACCACCTGCACCAGAGGTAGGCAACATTAGCACTGTGCAGCACTGCCCCAGGAAGCACATATGAGGAGTCTCCACTGGAGGTATCCCCACATTCTTTTCTCTGAAAAGACAGTGTTTACTGCAAAAAGCCAGAAGGCTGTAGTTGTTCTGGTGAATATAGTGTCCTTTTAAGTAGTACTAGGGGATAAATGTTATTCTGGCACAAGATTGTTTTTCTAGCATAAGAACTTTTTAACTCTTAAAGGACAACTGTAACCTAAAACCTTATTTTTTGGTCAAATACTTTCTTAAAGGTTTGAAATAATTTTTATTTTTTAAATGAAGTATTTGTAAAACAAATGAGAAAAACTTAGCCCTACTTTTAGTATATGACAGAATTTTACAGCCATATACACGCACCTTAGGACAGACAGTGTTTAAAAACCGACCGTTAGTCTCAATGGTACTCCATGATTTTGTGCTACCCATTATAGAAAGGTGTCAGAACACACAGTGCATCTCAGTTTGCTGTGTACTGGGCTGTACAGTCGCAGAACAATCAAAGTGCCCATGATGACCCCTGTTCACCCTTGAAAGCACCTGCATGTGTGCATCAGAACTGGACCCTGGAACAATGGAAGAAGGTTGCATGATCTGATGAATCACGTTTTCTTTTATAACAAGTGGATGGCCAGGTGCGTGTGCATCGTTTACGTGGGGTAGAGATGACAGCAGGATGCACTGTGGGATGAAGGCAAGCTGAGAGAGGCAGTGTTATACTCTGGGCAATGTTTTGTTGGGAAAACCTTGGGTCCTGGCATTCATGTGGATGTTATTTTGACATGTACCACCTACCTAGAGATTGTTGCAGATCACATACAGCGCTTCATGACCAGGGCCGGACTGGCCCACCGGGATACCGGGAAATTTCCCGGTGGGCCGCGGCACCTGGGGCCGGTCTGACAGCTCCTGTGATCCCGGCCGGCCATGTGGCCACATAGCCCCATGGGAGCAGGGGGAGCCAGGCGGCCGGCACAGCTCACACATGGCCGCCCGGGATCATTTAAAAAAAAAATTAATAATTTGCGGCGGGGGCGGAGCTTACTGTGCGGCGGGGGCGGGGCTTAGCGTGCGGCGGAGGCGGAGCTTACTGTGCGGCGGGGCCCGGCTAATTGCAGCATGGGAAGCAGGAAGGAGTCCCTGCTTCCCCAACAACAAGCCTCCAGGAACTCCAAGCAGGAGGTAAGGAGGAGGTCAGTGTGTCTGTGTGAGTGTGTGACTGTCTGTGAGTGTGTGACTGTGACTATCTGTGAGTGTGTGACTGTGTGTGTGTGACTGTGACTATCTGTGTGTGTGACTGTGTGTGAATGTGACTGTGTGTGTGACTGTGTGTGAATGTGACTGTGTGTGTGACTGTCTGTGTGTGACTGTCTGTGTGTGTGACTATCTGTGTGTGTGACTGTGACTGTCTGTGTGTGTGTGACTGTGACTGCCTGTGTGTGTGTGTGTGTTTGTGTGTGACTGTGACTGTCTGTGAGTGTGTGACTGTTAGTGTGTGTTTGTGTGTGACTGTCTGTGTGTGCGTGTGACTGTGCGTGTGACTGCCTTTGTGTGTAACTGCCTCTGTGTGTGTGTCTGTCTGCCTGTGTATGTTACTGTCTGTGTGTGACTGTCTGTGTGTGTGACTGTGTGTGTGTGACTGTGTGTGTGTAAGTGTCTGCCTGTGTGTGTGGCTGTGTGTGTGTGTGTGTGTGTGTGACTGTCTGCCTGTGTGTGTGTGGCTGTCTGCCTGTCTGTATGTGTGGATGTTTGCCTCAGTGTCAGTGACTGTTTGCCTCTGTGTGTGTGTGCGCACCTGCTAGTGAGGGAGCCTCTGTGTGTGTGTGTGCCTGCTAGTGAGTTTGTGTGTGTGCCTGCTAGTGAGTGAGTTTGTATGTGTGTCAGTGAGCTTGTCTGTAGGGATCATATGTGTGTGTGTTAGTGAGCTCTTGTCTGTAAGGAGCATGGGTGTGATCGTGGGCTTGTCTGTAGTGAGCGTGTGTGTCAGTGAACTTGTCTGTAGTGAGCGTGTGTGTCAGTAAGCTTGTCTGTAGTGACCATATGTGTCAGTGAACTTGTCTGTAGTGACCATATGTGTCAGTGAGCTTGTCTGTAGTGAGCGTGTGTGTCAGTGAGCTTGTCTGTAGTGACCATATGTGTCAGTGAGCTTGTCTGTAGTGAGCGTGTGTGTCAGTGAGCTTGTCTGTAGTGAGCATGTGAGTGAGCTTGTCTGTAGTGAATCTGTGTTAGTGAGCTCTTCTGTAGGGAGCATGTGTGTGTCAATGGGCTTGTCTGTAGGGAGAGTGTGTGCGCATCAGTGAGCTTGTCTGTAGTGAGCGTGTGTGTCAGTGAGCTTGTCTGTAGTGAGCGTGTGTCAGTGAGCTTGTCTGTAGTGAGCGTGTGTGTCAGTGAGCTTGTCTGTAGTGAGCATGTGTGTGTCAGTGAGCTTGTCTGTAGTGAATCTGTTAGTAAGCTCTTCTGTAGGGAGCATGTGTGTGTCAATGGGCTTGTCTGTAGGGAGAGTGTGTGCGCATCAGTGAGCTTGTCTGTAGTGAGCGTGTGTGTGACAGTGAGCTTGTCTGTAGTAAGCTTGTGTGTGTATCAGAGTTTGTCTGTACTAAATTTGTGTGTCTGCCAGTAACCTTGTCTGTGTGTGTCATTGAGATTGTCTGTCAATGAGCCTATTTGTGTGCATCAGTAAGATTGTCTGTGTCTGTGTGTGAGTATGCTTTACTGTATAATTTAATTACCCTGAAAGGACTAATATTTTGAATTAGAAGAAGAAATGTATCAATATATATATTAAAGGACCACTCTAGGCACCCAGATCACTTCAGCTTAATGAAGTGGTCTGGGTGCCTGGTCCAGCTAGGGTTAACCCATTTTTTCATAAACATAGCAGTTTCAGAGTGCTATGTTTATGAATGGGTTAAGCCTTCCCCTATTTCCTCTAGTGGCTGTCTCATTGACAGCCACTAGAGGCGCTTGCGTGCTTATCACTGTGATTTTCACAGTGAGAACACGCCAGCGTCCATAGGAAAGCATTGATAATGCGCATTCAGCCGACGGGGAGGAGAGAAGGAGGATCGGAGGAGGAGAGCTCCCCGCCCAGCACTGGAAAAAGGTAAGTTTTTACCCCTTTCACCCTTCCAGAGCCGGGCGGGAGGGGGACCCTGAGGGTGGGGGCACCCTCAGGGCACTATAGTGGTCCTTTAATATATAACACCCTACATAGCACAATGACTTATGGGGCTGGCATAGATTTTTTTCCAGGGCTGCTTCGTATCCCCAGTCCGGCCCTGTTCATGACAATGGTGACGACATTTGCTCCTTTCAGCAGGATAATGCACCCTACACACTGCAAACATTGTTCAGGAACATGACAAGGAGTTCAAGGTGTGGCCTCGACCTCCAAATTCCCCAGATCTCAATCTGACTGTGGGATGTGCTGGAACAACAAATCCGATCTATGGAGGCCCCACCTTGCAACTTGCAGGACTTAAAAGATCTGCTGCTAATATCTCAGTGCCAGATACCAAAGGACACGCTCAGAGGTCTTGTGGAGTCCATGCCTCGACATATCAGAGCTGTTTTGGCAGCACAAGGTGGACCTACACAATATCAGGCAGATGGGTTTAATGTTGTAGCTGATCAGTGTATATGGCTGAAGGATTCTGTCAAATACTAAAGTAAGGAATGATATTTTTCTCTTTTTTTTTTTTACCTGTACGTCGTTTTTTTTTTTTTTAAATCTTTCCTTTCAAAACTTAAAATATATATTTTATTATATATATAATTATAAAACTAAAATACATTTTAGGTTACAGCTCTCTTTTAAATGTAAACTTGCATAAGGACTTTTTTTAAATAACAGGTACCTTCATTCAGAATAATAACAAGATAGAGTGAAACATGAAAATATATGCATTTCCAACTGCATATTATACCCCTACTAACTAAACCTACTATGCAGATAGCACAGCATATGTATAGTTAGAGTGCTGTTAAGTCCAATTACTACATCAATATCCTTTTGATGATGAGACACTTCGAGGAATATCTACAATGTACGCATCAGTAGGCTAGTCTTATGACATTAAGCTTCCATGAGCCGTCAATTAGAAATGAACAGGCATAAGAGAATTAGTATGTTTTTTAATTAGCTTAAGTGACCTCTCCATCTTATTACTGACCTTTGATAATACCCAGTGAGTGATGTGTAGCATAAACTACTTGCCAGTTTATATTATTGAATAGTATACATCCAGGATAATGGTCAAACATTACAAAATTAAACATATGGCTGAAAGTCAACAGCCAGTGGAAGAAATTCTTTAGGAAACAAAACTGAATTATTTTTGATTATTGTCTTTATGATGTGTGGGTCTGATATAAAATCTGACTCATTAGAGAAACCAGGACTACAATGTAAATACATTACAGCGTGACTGCAATTAAAGCCAATAAACTGGTACTGTGACTTCCTGGTCATAATGTCAATTAATAAAGCACCAAGGTCATTTCACCTGGAGGACACTGTTATGATTCCATCCATTTTCAAGGATTTTCAAATGAGGAAAGCTCCAAGGATCTACGGTATATTAGTTCCCAAAAGAAATGAAAGGTAAAGAAGTAGGGCACCTTGTCATATTTGCATTTACATTTGCACTATTGTTAGGATACTATGAGACCAACCTTGCTTGTTCAGCTCATCGTTAAAATGAATGCAACCCATCATACAATGACAGGTAAGTATCATAGTGACGTTACTGTACAGATATTAGAATATTGGAGTATTTGGACTCCACATCCAACCTCATATATGCAGCCTTATTTATTTTGATGAGTGGTATCATAGGAGTTCTAGTTGTGTATCAGTGTTAGATCTATCTGTTATTCTATTTTCAAGCATGTGGGACATTAAATATGGCTGGTTCACGGGGGAAGAGCTTGCAGCGGAGCAGAGCGGTCGCACTCACTGAGAGCTCCCCGACACGAACCGCAAACAAAATGTTAAACAAGGCAATTTCCGACGTCCACCCGGGCTCAATTGCTCATACCCGACCCGGGATTAGCCATGGGACGCAAACAGCGGATAAAGAACCAACCACCCACGATATCGGGGAACTTCTCCGACGCTCGCAGAGGTCCGCATGGGACAAGATGGCGGCGGGAGACGACAGATACTCATTCTCATCTGATGATTTCTCCATAGACCCACAGAGAAAGTATGGCACAAGCCCCTCCACCCGACCCTAGGCCCTCACATACTCCTGCAGAAGACCCTGTCACGGCCACAATACTTAAGAGCATGCTGGCAGAGATCAGAACCAACATAGCAGCAGACATGGCCGGTATAAAAGAGGCAGTGGAGGGGATCACTACCAGGGTCCTGAGGCTGGAGGCCTCAACTACCTCCCAATAAGCAAGGATAGCATCCTTAGAACAAGCACTAACTGAGGTGCAATCACAACAAAGCATATCAAACAACCGGATAAACACCCTTGAGGACCAACGAAGACGCTATAATATCAAGATCTGAGGCATCCCGGATTCAATAGGCCAGAAAGACCTACCGCACTTCATCAGGTGCCTGCTGGCCAATCTATTGCCACCCAAACAGGCAAAAGCAGTGCGACTAGATGGTATATTCAGACTGCCAAAGCCTGCAACGGCACCAGCCACGGCACACGCAGACCTAATCCTCCGTTTTCAAAACCTGCAAGACATAGCCCAGCTGTTGGTGGCCGCACGGGGGAAAACCCCTTTGACATTTGAGGGAGCCATGCTGTCCCTCTTTCAGGACCTTACTAAAAGCACCATGGGATGGCGCAAGACCATGCAGCCACTCTTACAACATCTTAGGAACAAGAGCATCCAGTATAAATGGGGGACACCTTCACATGATCACCTTCACATATCAGGATACCACATACTGAGCTCGGAGCTACCCTGAACTGGACTCTCAACTGCGCACAGCAGGCCTACTGTCGCCCCCACGCAGGGAAAGCTCAGACCTCCCCCGACTGGACCCGGCCGCGGTCACTGACTTCATCCCAGGGGCACCCACCCAACCGCCGCACCAACGAAAGATACCATGAGGGACACTGCACATAGGGGGTTTCTCCTCAGAACCCCAAAGACTGCTGATAACGCACTCTCCAGGATATGGCCTCCTGCCCAAGATGAACCTGCTCTGCTCTCTTGAGAACTTACACATGGTCAACACCCAAGTTCCTCCTTCCCATAGAGTTTTTGTTGATCAAAGTTGACTTTTTCCTAGTTCACAAAAGTCTGTATAGGTCTCCCCGAAGTAGATTTTACGCACCCGAGACACATCAACAGCGTCACTCGCACCCTCTACCGGGGACACAAATACTCACAACCGGGCTCACTACCGACTGCATCTGCATTTGACCTACCTCCCCACACGAACATGGAAGACACAGTTAAAAACATATCCATTATGACAAGAGGGTATCCCTGGTGAGGGACACATACCATCCTAGGGCACCCCATTCACGACAAGGCTCACCCTCACACACCGGGGACTAGACGGACAGTCACGTTGGGGAGAGCCCACTGACCTCACACCACACGTACAAAATAAGCCTCCATAGCTGGTTTTCAAACAGACCCATAAGACAACACATGTCCAAAGACAAACCCTAAGAAGGCACACTCACAGAATCCACCAGGTCTTGGACATGCCTGAAAAAATAGACGACACCACAACTACACAATTAATATGTAAAAAGTGCTATGTGTATATATATATGCCGCTACTGTATTAATATATGTTGTTAAGTATGCCTGCATAAGCTGTTGTGGCAATGTGGACATTTCTGTTGAATCTGCACAACAAAATAATGAATAATAAAAAAAAAAATATGGCTGGTTCACACAATGAATTCATTGACCAACACGGCAATGCAACTGCATACAGATATTAAATTTCACATTCTCAATCAGACCAGAATAAAGTAGAATGTGTAACGAGCTGCTCAACACTGCCATCTATTGGTAATACGGTCTAAGACTCCAAGACTTTCCTTCATTTAGGCAATAAATGCAGTGTTTTAGCATTGCAATTACAATTATTTATAAAGTGCCAGCATATTCTGCAGTGCTTCAAAATAGGTAAACAAGACAAATCAGATTCTAACAACACATGACTGACATGCTGGGTAGGCAAAAAGGGGGTCCTGCCCAAATGAGCTGACAATCTATAAAATATAAGACAAGTTAACATTTCTGTGCTTGACCAATATGTTTGAGTTTAAATTATTGTAATATATAAGTATAACACTCTTTTCTCCTTGTAAGAAGGATTACAGTGTTTTTTTTTTCTCTTGAGAAACAGTTATGTATGTACGTAGCCAAAGGCCTCCTGGGTGATTTAAAACATGTTCCCAAAACAGAACAGTTGTGA